CGTCCTGGGCTGAGCAAGGAGCGCCTGTCTCCAGGGACGGCGCGGCTAGGGGCCCTCGTCCCGTCTCTCTCTCCCGACCCGGTCCCCCGTGCAGGCCACGGCGGTGCTGCAGGCGGATTCTGGCACAGCGTGAACGAGCTGGCGTCAGCTCCCTCGTGGCTGCTGCGTTTCGTGTGGCCAGAGACATTCATCTTAGAACAATGCGGACACTTAGTCTTTCCCCTTCATCACCCATGCCGTGAAATTAAGCCCCGGTCGCTTGGAAGCTCACGCCTTCCACACCCACCAGACGCCAAGAGAATGCACGCCAGCATGCCCGTGTCAGCATGCCTGTGCCAGCGCACCCGGGCCAGCAGACCCTTCTCCGTGACTGAAGGTAGCCGCACTTCACATCTTTTCAAGTGTTTGTCTTTCTGGCAAGTGGACCGGGACTTTAAAAACCAAAACACTCCTGGGATTCACTGAAAGCCACCGAACTGGCACCGTTTCGCGTGGTGGGGAGTGGCGTGGGGGGAAGCCAAAGGTGCCAGAGGAGCCCCTCCTTCCAAAAATCGGACCGATCCTCTGGAGACGACAGTCAGATCCAGGCTGAAAGCTCCCCCGCAAAGGAACTGTGTTCTTTGGGGAGCCCGGGCTGCAAAATGTGGCAAGACCCAGACGGGCACCCTTGGATCCTCACGGGGTTCAGCTTTGGATATGCTGGCTCTGCTTCGGCACCCCTTCACTCTGCACAGAGCCCCAAAGGCCCTTTTCTTAGCCTGGCCATCTTTCAAGGTCGGTTCAATTGCTGCCTCCTCCAGGGAGCCCTCCGTGTTTCACCTCGTGGTCACTCTTCCCCCAGTCTGTGCCTCTCCTGGAAGCTAATCACAGAGACTCTGCACATCCACAGCCGCCTCTCCCACTTGCAGGGGGGTTTAAGGGCCATGTGTGGAGTGCTCACGATTCCCCTTATTCCTCAGGACCCCTGTGAGGCCAGTACTCCCACCACCGCATGTTACAGATGGGGAAACTGAGGCTGAGTGAGGTGACAGGACTTTCACGAGGCCACACACCAGCAAGTGGCAATGCAAGGTGTGGACTGGGGCTCTGCGGCCACAGGCCTGGGCTCCTCCTGCCGGCTGAGGGGTCTGCCCGCCTGTGCCCGCCTCCTCCTGGTCCCCGAAGCCTTTGCACCCCTCAGAGCATCATGCATCACCAGCCCCTGCAGAACGTGCTGTTGAACGGGCCCCGGGTGGTGTTCCTGAGAGCGTGTCTCATTTATTAGGGTCGCAAAATCCCTGGCCCTGTTGAGTGTCATCTTTGATGTTCCAGGGCGGTGTGGAAATCTCTGTTTTTATGTGACCCAATTTCTAGGCTTTCAATTGCGGCTTCTCTCCTCCTCCCACTCTGTGTTTTTGAAATCAGGTGGGCGGGGCTGCCTCCCAGCATTGCTACTTGCCCCGGGGTCTCCCTCCCCACCCCTTAGGCCCAGGTATGTGGGCACAGTGCCAGCTCTCGGGCCCTGCCAAGAGGACTCACGGGCATGGCACACCTGGGCGATCCTCCACCCGTAGGGAAACTGTGTCTTTTGTTCGTCCTGTGCCGTCAGCGTGAGCACTGCAGCAGCTGTGCTGGACGGGACCTCCCTGCGCCTGTCCCGTCCTCCCGTGAGACCAGCGAGGACGTGGGACTTCCACCCGGGCCCTCTGTGCTCCAGGGTTATCGTATTCCGGAGGAGTTCTGTGAAAAATCACTTTTCTCTGTTTCCTTTCGGCCTTTTAAGACCCTGCTGGTTACAGCTCTCTTTGTCACTAGTCACGTGGGACCAATAATTGCTGAAATTTGGTCTCTGTTTTCTCAGCTGATCTGGGTGACCCGTGGGGCATCTTTTGGAGTATTTTTAGGGAGCTGGGGCGGAGGGAGTCTCAGAACTCGATGTCTGAATCATTTCCCCATGAAGGCGTTTAGCATTTGTCCACTGCTGGCACAGAGTTAGGCTGTGGATTTTGGAAAATCACAGATGAGTGGTGCCGGGTCTTCCCGTGGGGTGTGGAGGGTGTGGAGGGCCGGCTCGTGGCTGGAATGTGCATTACCTGGACAGGGCCTGCTTTTTTTTTTTTTTTTTTTTGCTTTAAAATATATTGTTGTAAAATAGACATAACGTAAACGTCACCGCCTTAGCCGTTTTCAAGAGCAGCGTTCACCCGCGTTAAGCACGTTCTCACCGTGCCGCCGTCAGCACTACCCACCCGCAGGACTCTCTCATCTTTCCAGACCGAAGCCCTCTCCTCACTCGGCGCTGTCTGCCGCTTCCCCCTGCCCCTGGCAGCACGAGTCTGCTTTTTCCTCTGTGTTTCCCACTCGAGGGTCCTCCTATAGCTGGAATTGTACAGTATTTGACGTTCTGTCCTTCTCCAGAAGGACGCTGTGGCCTGGTCCGAATGTCCTTCCTTTTTTTAAAAAAAATTTTTTGACATGGAGTCTCGCTCTGTTGCCCAGCTGGAGTGCAGTGGTGCGATCTCGGCTCACTGCAGCCTCTACCTCCCAGGTTCAAGTGATTCTGCTGTTCAGCCTCCTGAGTAGCTGGGACCACAGGTGCACGCCACCACGCCCAGCTAAGTTTTGTTATTTTTAGTACAGACAGGGTTTCACTATGTTGGCCAGGGTGGACTCGACGTTCATGGTTTGGTTACATTTAGCCCTTCTGGCTGGGCACTGTGGCTCACGCCTGTAACCCCAGCACTTTGGGAGGCCGAGATGGGTGGATCATGAGGTTCGGAGATGGAGACCATCCTGGCTAATCTGGTGAAACCCTGTCTTTACTAAAAATACGACAAATTATCCAGGCATGGTGGCATGCGCCTATAGTCCCAGCTATTCAGGAGGCTAAGGCAGGAGAATCACCTGAGCCCAGGAGGTGGAGGTTGCAGTGAGCCAAGATCGCGCCATTGCACCCCAGCCTGGGCGACAGAGCCAGATTCCATCTCACAAAACAAAAAACAGAGAAAAACCAAAAAGCATCTAGCCTTTCCAAAGACCCTGGCATTTCTGCAGTATTACCTGTAAATGCCATGTGCAGAAACATGGGTTATTTCCACTTTTTTTTTTTTTTTTGAGATGAAGTCTCCCTCTGTCACCCAGGCTGGAGTGCAGTGGCGCGATCTCGGCTCACCGCAACGTCCGTCTCCCGGGTTCAAGCAATTCTCCTGCCTCAGCCTCTCAAGTAGCTGGGACTACAGGTGCGAGCCACCATGCTTGGCTAATTTTTTTTTTTATTTTTAGGAGAGATGGGGTTTTACCATGTTGGCCAGGATGGTCTCAAACTCCTGACTCAAATGATCCACCCACCTCAGCCTCCCAAAGTGCTGGGATTACAGGCATGAGCCACCACGCCCGGCCTGGGTTATTTCCACTTTTGGGCTGTTTTGAGTAGTGCTGCTGTGAACACAGGGTAAAAGAGGGTCCGCTTTTTAAGAAGGTGGGTATCAGGACCTTTGCTGACGCGAGAGGAGCCGGCCTCCTGGGGCCTCGCTGCCGTTACACGGGATGGGGGTTGTGTTGTCCTGAAAGCTGGTTCCACAGCATGTCCTGAGAGCCCACTGCGTGCCGTGCTCTGGGCTGGGCACTCGACATTCGTGGTTACATTCAGTCCTTCCAAAGGCCCTGGCGTTTTTACAGTCTTATCTATAAACGCCACATGCGGAAACAGGCGCAGAGACGTGAGTGGGACGTGCCTGGGGTCTGTCTCGTGGCCAGCACGGGCGGGACCCGCTGGCCTGCTGCTCCGAAGCCATCATGCCCCACCCCCCTGCTGCCCCATCGCCTGCCACGGCGGAGGCTGGGTGTCCAAGATGGAGGTGCTCAAGGTGCGAGGCGACAGTGGGGTTAAAAGAGGACATAGTTTAGCTGGAAGAAGCACGTCCTCCTTTGTGGGTTTCTGTCCCAGTCTTAAAATGTAAGTCTAATTATTCAGCGAGGGAAGCCAACAGATCAGGAGAAGGCTGACCTGGAGAGATGGTGTGTTCATTCAGATACTCCTCCGAGTCTGTTTCATCGAGAAGGAGGTAGAGCTCCGGACACCCTGGCCTGGCTACTTTTGTGGCGTGTGATCAGGGACTGCTCCCCGTGGCCCTCCACCAGGGCCGTGAAAGCTGCCAGGACCGTGTCCGCCACTGGAACCACAGGTGTATCTTGGGGCTGGAACCTGGGGTCCCACGTGCAGCAGGGGCCGAGGCTGTGGACTTTGGAAGAAGTGTGACATTAGAGAAGCAAGGGGTCGGCCCCCGCATTTCGTGGGCGGACATTCCTCCCTGCTGGGTGTGGCTGAAAGTCCTGGAGGGTCTCACTGGTGCAGGGAGGCGAGGGGTCATTTCTTGTTCTGGGATTGTCCCTAATCACTGGGCGTTCCAGGCCCTGTCACTGTCCAGGAGTCCCTGGGGATGGGAGGTCGTGCTGTTTCTGACTTGAAGCCTCTGGCTCCCTTTATTAGATTTTGTTGTATGTCCCAGCAGTCCTGACCTGGGTGTTCCATCAGATTTCTGTCCCTGTGAATGTGGCTGTCACCAGTGACCCCACTTTGAACTCCAGACTCACGCGTGTGCATGACCGGAGGGGGTTAGCCTCTCGAGTCCGTGGCTCAGGACGCAGTCCCACCACAGAGGGAGGGCAGCCCCGCCCGCTCACGCCCCATCGCTGTGGTCCGTGCTTTGTCTGCCTCGGCAGCCTTGGTCAGATCTGGAAGCAGCTGGAAGCTTTGGTGTCTTAGTTATGAGTTTCAAAGAGCAGTGAAAACAGGCTGGCAGGGCTCGGCGAGAAGTGGGAAGTATTTGGGGTGGGAGGGACCGCACGGTGCATTCTTGATTTGGTGCATTTTTCCCTCTGACTCTTTCTGGGCAACAGACCTCTAGGAATGTCTGTGAAATGCCGAAAAAGCAGGAAGTGATGTCCCTCTGCATCCACAGCTGACACACGAGGCCGTGGCGCTCCGTGTATGCTCACCTGGGTTTCTTTTCGCCCCACAGTGAGTGACCTGCAGGCAGAAGGCAAGAATGCCATCAACTCGCCGACGTCCCCTGCCCTGGCGGATGTTCACCCTGAAGACACCCAGCTCGGTAAGGGCAGCTCCTCCGCTCCCGGCCCTGAAACGGTTGAGCGTCTGTGGCGCAGCGTTGGTCTTGCGGAGGCCAGCGAGGAGCCCCGTAGATCTGGCCTCTTGATCAGATGCTGGGGGTATTTGGGAGTCTAAGTTCTTAGCTCAAGGTCGTGGTTAGAAAAGTCCCCTGGGAAACACAAGTCCTTTGTGGGTTTCTGCCCCAGTCTTAAAATGTAAGTTTTATTATTCCGGTGGTAAAGCCAACAGATCAGGAGAAGACTGACTTGAAAAGATAGTTTGTTAAATTCAGTTCCGAAAGCAGGTGTAGCAGGCCACTCAGGGCTATGCCGTGCCATGCCACACCACTGCCACGCCATGCCACGGAAGGCCACGTGGGAAGCATCAGGCAGAGGCAGAAGGAGCAGGGCCAGTGCCTTTATTTTGTATTATATATATACGTATTTTCAGATAGAGTCTCAGACCGGGCGCGGTGGCTCATGCCTGTAATCGCAGCACTTTGGCAGGCCAAGGTGGGTGGATCACAAGGTCAGGAGATCGAGACCAGCCTGGCTAACATGGTGAAACCCCGTCTCTACTAAAAATACAAAAATCAGTTGGGCGTGGTGGCATGTGCCTGTAATTCCAGCTACTTGGGAGGCTGAGGCAGGAGAATCGCTTGAACAAGGGAGGCAGATGTTGCAGTGAGCTGAGATTGTGCCACAGCACTCCAGTCTGGATGACAGAGCAAGACTCCATCTCAAAATAAAATAAAATAAAATAGAGAGATAGAGTCTCAGTCTGTCACCCCAGCTGGAGTGCAGTGATGTGATCATGGCTCACTGCAGCCTTGGCCTTCCAGGTTCAAGTGACCCTCCTGCCTTAGCCTCCTGAGTAGCTGGGACTACAGGGGTGTGCCACCACAGCCACCTAACTTTGTGAATTTTTTGCCATGTTGCTCAGGCTGGTCTCCAACTCCTGGGCTCAGGCAATTCTCCTGCCTTCATCTCACAATGTGCCGGGATCACAGGTGTGAGCCAGTGCGCCCGGCCCCAACACCCTTACCGTGGCTTTCTCTGAAGGAATGGGTGAACAGGCCTGGGCCTGACTGGCTGGAATCATTTCAGTAGGCTCTGGGGTACAGGGACTATCCTGAGTCTTCTGGTACCTGGCCCTGGGGAGATTAGGGTAAGGATATTGGCTGGGAGTGTAGGAGCCACAGAAGAGCCAAGAAAAGAGGTGGTTGGGGGCCGTGGGCTCGGGGCTGTGGGCTCGGGGGCCGTGGGCTCAGGGGCTGTGGGCTTGGGTCTCCGGGCTCCGGGGGCTTGGGCTCTGAGTGGGTTTACATATGGAAGGTGTGGTCACAGAGGGTGGTTTACCATCTCTAAGAATTAGCTCGCCCTGAGGTGCAGCCTCTCCAGAGTCAGCAAGGCCCCAAGATGCCAAGTCCCAGAAGATACAGAAAACAGGACGGGCACTGTGACTCACGCCTGTAATCCTAGCACTTTGGGAAGTTGAGGCGGGTGGATCACCTGAGGTCAGGAGTTCTAGACCAGTCTGGCCAACAGGGCGGAACGTTGTCTCTAATAAAAATAGAAAAAATTAGCCAGTGTGGTGGCAGGCGCCTATAATCCCAGCTACTTGGGAGGCGGAGGCAGGAGAATTGCTTGAATCCAGGAGAGAGGAGGAGGGTGCAGTGAGCTGAGATGGCGCCACTGCACTCCAGCCTGGGTGACAGAGACCATCACCAGGTGGCCGGGAGACCCCAGCAGGATCTGCAGACACAGCCACCTGCCTGGGGCCCTCAGGCCCACTGTCCTCCTCCAGGTGGGGTCAGGAATGAAAGCCACCCCAAGGGACAATTAGAGGCCGGAGACGCGTCTGAGAAAGTGTTTGGTGACCCTAAGGCTGAAACGACGCCTGCCCTCCTCCACCCTTCACAGTCTCTGGTTCAGGTGCTCCATCCCCCTTGGTGGCCGACTGAGGCAGGACCCCTCAAGGAGCCCACAGTCCTGGGACATCAGAGCAGGCATGGCATGCTGCCCAGTCCAGGGGTTGCTGCGGGGTCACACGTGGGCTCAGAGCCTTCAGCAAGAGCAGAAAGTTCCCCTTGAGGTCCACATGAGCTGGCTGGGCCCGAATTTTGTTTCTTCTCTGTTCAGCGAGAGCAAGGGGTGGGGATACAGGGCAATGCTTAGATTTGTAGTGTGGTTTGAAGGGAATGTTCCCAGAAATGGCCTCTCTGAAGGCTGGGATTGGGTAGTGACCTACTCACTCTCCATCCTGCACCCTCCACATACGCGTGTGGACTCACGGCCTGGCCCTGCTCCTTGCCCGCCCGAGATGGGTGGTCTGGAGGGGGTCTCAGGCAGGGGTCACACAGGTACACCAAGGCCTCCTTCGGGTAGGAGAGCTTGGAAGATTTGGCGTTTGGACTCAAGGATCTCAGCTGGGGAGCTGAGGTCTGAAGAGTGAAGGAGACATGAGCCAGGGAGAGAGAGTCAGACGGCAGGGGCAGGTGCCACGGCCCGGGGAAGGTGGCGGCGAGGCTTCAAGGAATGAGGGGAGACAGGACGGGCTGGAGCAGATCGCACCAGGAGGGTGGGAAAGGAGCCTGGAGAGGGGCCTCGGAGGCTGCCTGGAGGATGCCAGCCTTGATCCCAGCAGGAGCGGGAGGCTGCGGGGGCCTTGGAGGAGACGTCACCAGGACTCCCGAGTGCTCCCTGCACGTTACCTGGAGGGTCCTTCCCAAGCATCAGATCTGCAGGACTTCAAAAATAGTTTCCCCACATCGTCAGAGTTCAGACGCTGCCGCTGGGAAGTGGCGTCGCATCCGTGTAGGAGCAAAGTTTCACTCAGTCGGACGCCAAGTGGGGATTAACAACAGCCATGGAAAGACTCCCTCAAAGCCATTTGCTTTCTTTCTTTTGTATTTTATTATTTATTTTTAAAAATAGAGACGGGGATTTCACTATGTAGCCCAGGCTGGTCTGGAACTCCTGGGCTCAAGCAGCCCTCCCACCTCAGCCCCCCGAAGTGCTGTGATCACAGGCAGGAGCCACTACACGCAGCTTCAACGCCGTTTTCGTTTTGACCAACACGGTCAGTGTCTCCAGCCCTGTCCCAGCCTGTCTGGGCCCTGGGACCTGGTCTCTACTGTGTCCTGGCCGTTTCCACATGTATGTCCTAGGGGTATCTGGCTTCTGCCTGGAGCCCCTCTTGTGCCCTTTCTCCTCTTTAAGAGAGAAGCATGGTGTAGAGCCTCCTGGCGAGTGGACCCTGGGCCCCACCCATCCCATGTTCTGCGCAAATCCCGGAGCTGGACAGCGTGGGCGGCCTGAGACCCCCTTGCCCTTCCCTGAGTGTGTTCAGAGGTGCTTGGAGCCCGCTGGCTTCTGTGTGGCGCTGGGCATTTCTGCCACGGAGCATGCCTGGCCTCTGGGGGTCCCACCTCCCCCGCCACCACCATGGCACCGTCCTCCGTGAGGGGCTCAGCTGGCTGCCTGGTGTCCGTGGGATCCAGGCTGAAACATGGAGGGAAAGCAAAAGGTAGAGAAATGGAAGAGGGTGAGGATGGGCACATTTCGCTGATAAACATCATCCCCCCGCCGCTTTTTTTTTTGCCATTTCTTTCTCAATATGTTTTCCGCATGTTATTTTACATACAAGCTTGCATGTTGATTCTTTTCCACTCAATGTACCAAACGTTTTCCATCTCATGACCATCCCAGTTCTTCGCGTGTATTTGTGAATAGCGGCCCTGCGGTACTACCTGGTGCCTGAAGCTTTCCCACATGTCAGATTCCAGGCCGGGGATGCGTCTCATGCCCTGTGAATGCTACTGTCTCATTATTTCTCCTGAAAAGTGGAAATGGTTTGGACCGGTTGTTGGTGAAGTCTGGGAGAGGCAAGGCCAGGCAGACCGATGGAGTCTGACTTCATCCCTTTACAGAAGAGGGGAGGCTGCCCCGTCCACCTTCCAGAAGGTGGTTCTTGCAGTCACACAACCCCGAACTCCCTAGTGCTGGGCTCTCTGCTTCTTCACTTGTCAGAGATGAGGCCGGCCCGAATCCCTGCTAACCCTACAGTCGCTGACTGTGGCTTCCTTTTGTCCCTGGCAGAGGAGAATGAGGAGCGCACGATGATCGACCCCACCTCCAAGGATGACCCCAAGTTCAAGGAACTGGTCAAGGTAAGGAGCCCCATCTCGGTCAGAACCTTCCTCTTAGGGTGAGGGCTTGGCTTTGGGGTTCAGGGCTCTGGTGGACAAAGGGAGCTAAATCCGGGAGCTCCTGAAAGGGACGCTGGTGCAGCGTGAGAAAGTGTACGGATGTGTCGGCAGAGCAGGATGGCAGGGAGGATCCGTCCCGCAGTGCCCAGCGCCTCCTGTGTGCCCCGCTCCGCTGGGGCTTTAACAGCCAGGCTCGTGAGCTCTTTGCTGGACAGAGCTCGGCAGGAGGGGATTTCAGGGTTCGGAATGAGCGCCGGTGTGAGCTAGCGTAGCTCCCTACGGATGGAGTTGGAACTCCCTCTGGAGCCTGGTGGGGTCTGGATTTAGACGCAACCCTAAAACGCAGGAGGGCGACCCTCCGGCCACTCCTGCCGAGGAGCCAGCTGATGTTGACCCCTGTGCTGGGCGGACATCTGGTTTCCACCACGTCTGGAGGTGTGAATCGCAGCTGGGCGAGGAACCTGGCTGCCCCACTTTCAGAAGCCGGGGAGCGTGGAGGGGAGGGGCCCGTGGCGCTGGCCTTGGGCTGTCCCCCTCCAGCGTGGGTCCTGCTCATCACGAGGCAGGGCTTGTGCGGGTCCAGAGTGCAGTTCTGTTACTCTGACCTAAACCATGGCAGAGAGTCCCTTGAAGAGGAGAGGCTGTGGGCTCTGCCTGACCCTGGGGGACCCGGGGCTGGCCCGTGGGCAGATGGCCATGGCAGACATGGCTTCTGCAGCCCACAGCCAGCTTGGGTGCCCTGGGAGCCTTGAAAATGGTGATTGTGACAGTGTCTGCCAGAAACAGACACTTTTTTCTATTAGAAGTACTTTTTAAAAAGCTTCTCCACCTTTACCACCTCATTGGACCTGACGCTGGGCTGTACAACTGTGTTTCCATGAGGGCTCATTCAGAATCAGTAAAATGGCTTGCAAGTGATATTATCTTAAACTTTATGTTGAGGCCGGACGTGGTGGCTCACGTCTGTGATCCCAGCACTTTGAGAAGGCAAGGCAGGTGGATCACCTGAGGTCAGGAGTTTGAGACCAGCCTGGCCAACATGAAGTCCTGTCTCTACTAAAAATTTAAAAAATTAGCCGGGCATGGTGGCAGGTGCCTATAATCCCAGGTACTCAGGGAGGCTGAGGCAGAAGAATCGCTTGAACCTGGGAGGTGGAAGTTGCGGTGAGCCGAGATCGTGCCACTGCACTCCAGCCTGGGCACTAAGAGTGAAACTTCATCTAAACAAAACAAAAAAAACAAACAACAACAACAAAAATCCCCTTGAAAAATGTCAGTTTTAGGACCCACCCAAAGATGGTGATTCTTAATAACTTAAATTACTTAACTTTTTATTATTATTTTTTCCTGAATACTTACTCCGTTATTTTGAACAGAATAATGTCGATGAGGAAATTCGCTGTCTTTTAGCCATCAAAACGTTGTACTTGGGGGATGTTCAAGCAAGGGATGTCAGAGAAGTCAGGCCTGTCTAGATAAGCAGATCCAATTGTGTCAATATCTAGAGCAGGTGTCCCCAGACTTTTTACACAGGGGGCCAGTTCGCTGTCCCTCAGACCATTGGAGGGCCGCCACATACTGTGCTCCTCTCACTGACCACCAATGAAAGAAGTGCCCCTTCCTGAAGTGGGGCAGGGGGCCGGATAAATGGCCTCAGGGGCCCGCGTGCGGCCCATGGGCCGCAGTTTGGGGACGCCTGATCTAGAGAGAGGTTGATGATGGTATTGGCTCACGTGACTATGGAGGCTGAGAAGTCCCACGACCTGCCATCTGCAAGCTAGAAAGCTGGAGGGCCAGTGGTTTAGATGCCAGCCTGAGTCTGCAGTCCGAAGGGACAGGAGCGGGGTGGGAGAAGACCCACATGCTGGCTCCAGCAGCCCTCAGCAGAGAGAAGCGACTCCCCACCTCCTCCACCTTTTTGTTCTGTGGGGTTGGATGAGGCCCATCCTCCTTGGAGAGGGCTGTCTGCTTTACTCCATCCACCAGTTCAAATGTTCATCTCCTCTGGAAACACCCTCCGAGACACACCCAGAAACAACGTTTCACCGGCTGTCTGGGCATCCCGAAGCCCAGGCAAGTTGACACAGAAGATGAACCATCCGTGGACCTTTCTCAACTTTTTTCCTTTGATTTTTGAGCAATGCTTGAGAGTTCACAAGCTCCATTCGCAGGATTATCTCCTTGAAACAACTGTGGGGGGCTGTGTCATCCTTGCTGCCATATGGAGACTCAGAGAGGTGAAGGAGCCGGGGGAGGGGCGGGCGCTGTGGCTCACGCCTGAAATCCCAGCGCTTTGGGATGCCAAGGTGGGGGGTTGCTTGAGCCCAGATGTTCAAGATCAGCCTGAGCAACATGGCGAAACTCTTGTCTCTACAATACAGTACAAAAATGGACTGGGTTTGGTGGGAGGCACCAGTAATCCTAGCTCCTCAGAAGGCTGAGGTGGGAAGATTGCTTGAGCCCAGGAGGTCATTGCTTGAGCATGTCTGTGAATAGCCACTGCACTCTAGCCTGGGTGACAGAGCAAGACCCTCTCTCCAGAAAAAAAAAAAAAAAAAAAAAGAGCGAGAGGTTTAAGGCTGGGGTCAGTGATGTGTCTGTGCCTTCACTGAGCTGGGTTGTGTGTGGGGTCCTGTGCTCGGCCCTGGGGCTGGGGAATGGGTAGGTAAGTTCCCTGCTGTGCGGGATTTGATTTATGGTCCTCCCAGATGCATGCAGCACCACCCACCCCTGCGTCCGTCTGAAGGCCTCCAGGCTGTTTCCCCGTGGCGAGGCGAGGGCTGGGCTGCAGTGTGTGGCAGCCAGCACCGAACTGGAGGGACCTGTGGAGGCTCCAGCTGCTCTCTCTCTTCCAGGTTCCAGATTGAGAAGACGGCCACATCGAGGGCCGTGGGGTGGGCTGGCTGTTTGGGAAAGCTAATTCACATTCTGCAGGGCAACGTAGGACTAAGGACAGGAAGGAGCCGAGGAATAAATGCCTCTCCCGACTTCCCTGAGGTGGGCTTCTGAGACCATGGCTGGCGGAGATGGGCCGTGTGGCTGAGCAGCATCTGGGTTTTCTTCTGAAGCCGTAGCCAGCTCATGCACCTGCCTCGCCTCCCTTCCCCTCCCTCTTGCTAGTCTGGGATGCCCTCCCCTCACCTCCAAGCTCCTGCCAAAGAAAATGCATCAGCAGTGAGTTTTGCCCTGGCTCTGTTTTGCAGGGAACCTGGGCCAGAATCGTGGCCCCCAAAGACGACGATAATCCCTGGAGCCACTGAGTAGCACCTTGCATGGCAGAGGGACCCGGCGGGTGGAGTTGAACAACCTAGCAATGAGGGGGTCATCCTGGAAGATCCAGGGGGGGCCAGTGGGTTCGCTTGTGTCCACAGAGGGACGGGGGAGCTTTGACTGCACATGAACATGGCAGCTTGACCCTGGAAGCAAGGTGGCAGCTTCTGGCTCTGAAGATGGAAGAAAGGGCCACACGCGGATGGATGCAGGTGACCTCTGCCTCTAGAAGTGGAAAAGACAAAGGAAGTGGAGAATCCGGGAGGAACCCTAGAACCTCCAAAAGAAACTAGCCCTGCGGACTCCTGGATTTTGGCCCAGTGAAACAGATTTTGGACTTTGACCTCTGGGACGGCAAGAGAATCCATCGAGCTATTGGAAGCCCCTGGGTTTGCGTTACTCTGTTACAGCAGCCACAGGCAACTAACGCGACCCCCTTCTCCAAGCTGCTGCCTCTCCTGCAGCTGGCGGGCCCCGGCCCCTGCGGCCAGGCAGGGTGGGTTTTGGTACCTACAGCAGCAGCAGCAGCATCCTTGGCCATTTCCTGGTAGGACCAGTTGCCAGACACTGAGATGCCTGTTACTGCAACTGTCCCAGCAGGCTAGAGCATGTGTTTCTGGAGACAGGCAATTTCCCGAAGCCTCCACCTGCTCTCGGGCTGCAGGGTGGCAGACGCTTTCCACTTCTGATCGATCATTTTCCAAAATAAGCGTAGACACAGCAACCAGGAGAGCAGCATCGGTTCAGCTGCCGGTGGCACGGAGGGGATGTGCATTAAATATTAGTTCTCACCGACGACGACAGCCTTTTAAACAGAGAAGTGCGGGCGGTGGCAGGTGAGGCGATGGTGCTGAGCTGGGGCTGAGTGTGGCTCATTCGCGTTTGTCAGGCGTGCAGGGGGCTCTCTGTGCGGCCGGGGTTTTCCCTGAGTGGATTTACTGACGTCTGTGGATTCTCCACACTGCCCTTCTTTTGGCTTGCAGAGGAGTCAGATGCAGAGTGGCGTGTGTGTGCAGGTAGGGGTGAGCAGGGGAGGGTCAGCCTGCCAGCCACTGCCTGAGCCGGAGGCCAGCACAGTGGCCCGTCCTTGGGCTGCAGCTGAGCTGGGCACCCCCAGACATGCTCTGTCCAGCCCCTTCCTGTGTCATTCCCTCCCTCCCCTCCTCCTCCACTGCCCCTGCCACCCCGGTCACCTTGCTCTTCTGAGGACACACTGAGTAAGTACCCACTGGGTGAAAGGAGACGGTCCCCCAAGCCCACCCTCACTTCTGACACCAATGGCAAGTTCAGGATTTCCAACACTGCCCTGAGGTTTGAACACTTGCCTGAGGGACTCCCAGAGCCCACCTAAAGCTGTCACACTGCCAGTTATGGTTTCGGATGGTGAAGGGACACAGACGAAAAGCAGCCGAGGGAAGAGTCTCCCAGGGCGGAGTTGAAGGCACCCACCCAGGCCTCCATTGTCCCTTCACCGTGGGCTCACGGGCAGCGTTACTCTCCTGGTGATGTGGGACCATCCGCACGCGGTCTCGTCAGCCGCGGAGTCGTCTGAGCGTCCCTGTCCAGAGTTTCTGCTGGGGTTCCCTGGCATGGGCGTGGCTGACTGTCCACGTGGCTCATCTGTCTCCAGCCCCTCCAGCAGCTGGCTGATACAGTGCGGCCAAAAGCCCCCTCCCTGAATCACACAGCTA